AATCTTTATTCATTTTGTTAAATACAAAATAATTGAAAGATATGTAAAAATATTCTAGTTGAGTGTATATAGAAAAAAATTTGATTGTCAAACTGGAAAAAAAAATTATTATATTATATAAATTGATTTTTTGAAATTTTGAAAAAAAAAAATGGGGAAAAATGTAGAGATAATTTTTAATCATACAATGACATGTGTCATGCCTGGTTTCACTTTAAGTATATAAATTATTATTGAATGTGTTTGCAGATTTATTTTTGAAATATATATTGGCGATATATGGAATAATATTTTGCTGACAATTTTAGATATATGCTATAATATAAATGGCGTGAATCTTTTTTACTGTTTGAAAAAATAATGGTGGTCAAATAGGAAGGTTATATCATAATAATAAGTTAAATATATTTGATGAAGATTTGACAAACTAAAAAAGGAAAAGGAAAAAAAAATGGTGATTTTGGAGGGAAAACACAGCACCACGAAGTGACACGTGTCATTTCTGATGTCTGTTTTATTATTATGTTATTGATTACAACAATAATTTCACAAATATTGCACTATACTCATTTTAGAAAATAGTATATATTTAATTTCACAGTGCAAATACTCAATAAATACTTACTATTTTGTTTTTATCACTTGTTTCTTTAGCTTACAATTATATGGTCAAATTTTTATTTTGTATATTTTTTTTTTTCCTTTCTAGCTCTCTTTTCCTTTTCCTTTTCCCTCTGCAAAGAAAAGTGTGTCCTCCGCCTAATTTGTGCAATATGAAAAGAACGGAGGAAGTATCAAAGTTGTCACTAGATTTACTCATTTAGTTACAACACAAATTCTTATGTGATTAGCCACATCATTAGTTGGTGTTATGACCATTTCACATACATACAATTAATTGAGCAAATGGCTTACGACTATTGTCCAATGGGGTTATTATTATAAATAAGTGAAATTATTATTTTTTTAAAATCAAAACAAAAGAATGATTTACTCGAATAAAACAAATAAAGTTACTTTCTATCTAATTAAGAATTGGTGTTAATCAAATACTCCGTAGTCAGGGGCGGAGGGAGGAGGGTACAAGGGGGACGTACATTCCCCCCTACCCCCCTACTTTAAAAAAATCAGGTTTTTCATTAAAAAAATCATTTTTTTTAATTACTTTCTTTTTCTAACTTGTATTTATATTAAGAATTTATTTTGTAATCATAAGTTAGTTAACTACTCCATAGAGTTCATACTATATTTTCTACTGTAATCATACGGAGTAATTTCTAATTGTTTGAATGATAATATTTTATATGCATATATTGGATTATTACTTGAGGTTTATGTTGAAAATTAAATCCCACACTTTGAATCAGATATTATAAAGATTTGTTATTTTGTTAGAATATTAAGGTTTTTCAATTGTTAACTTGTTAATTATTTAAGTTGTTTGATAATTTGATTGTATAATTAAATATGATAATTGGTTAATGACATGTCAAATGATTCGCCTAATTTAATTCAAACTAGTCTAAACACAACATGAAAACAACTCGATCTTCGAAAAATCCTATTAGAAAGAATGAAGTCTCAAGGAAATCATCATTTTTTTCCACTAGTTAACTATTCACGTGTCAAGTATTTAACAATCTAAACTTCGGCTATTTAATTATCTTTGTGTCAAGTTTTTTTTTCTAACATCATTTTGCCACATCATGCGATGTCTTCTATTTGTCCCTCCGATTTGAAATTTCTGACTCCACCACTGTCTGACAGTTTGTAATAAATTGAGATTATTCTGATAGAGAAAATAAGGTGTTACCCTTATAATTTTGTTAGATTACTCACATTAACAAGTAAGGGTCATCCTAAAAAGAGAAAAACATATGTGATTACACTATATGTAACCTTTTTTTTTTTTGTAACTGACCACACACAAGACTTTACAAAATAACTAAGGGCTTGTTTAGTATCGTTTTATATTTTCAGTTTTTTTTTTTTAACAAAAAACCAAAAATAAAAAACAAGAAAAAGGTGTTTCTGCTTTTCTGTTGCCAATTTTCAAAATTATCATAAGTTTAATAAGTTTGACTAAGTTTTTATTCATTATATAACATATATTATAGGACTTTGAAAAACAAAAAACCAAAAATAGAAAACCACAGCCAAAGGCGAAGCCAAGAAATAAAATTCGAGGAGGCCAAGACATATATTAAGTAATAAAGTAATGTATATTCTGCGTTTTCTTATTGCAAAAGTTTTGCTTATGCACTAGTATTAAATAAATTTGACTAGTTTGCAAAAAAAAAAAAAAAAAAAAAAAAAAAAGACTATAATATTTATTACTATATTAAAAAAATAAATAAATAAAAGGTAGCTATGTAAGCTATGCAGTTTAGTCAATTAAAATTATAGGGAAAATTATAAAAGTAAGATTGGAATGATAACAGTAGGCAAAACTATTAAAAATTAAAGACCATACGAACCCTAAGTTTGTTTGTTTGTTTTTTTATTTTTTTATATATTTTTTTTTGGATAGATTCTTTCAAAACTTGTTGGAAACAAAGTGTTAAACCAATCTTAAACAGTGTAAGCATAATTAAATTGTTAAATGCTCGAAATGGTCAAAGACATGCAACATGCAAGACATAAATTGGCCAATTTTCATAATTTTCCTAAATACATATTCCCAATTAAGCCATTAACAGTATCAAGGCAATCTTGACGTAGCAAACTTATCTTTTAAGCACCAACAAGCTATGCATGCGCATGCACAATTAGGCTACGGAGTTGTAATGGTTATGCGTAGTATGTAAACATGCAAGACGTACAATTGTCATTGCTTATCTGATTTTTTAAATTTCTTTTAATATTTTCTCCCTTATTTTAGTTGATATTTTTCTTAACATATTTTAAAATTTTAATCATTTATATCATAACATAATAACAATAACAAAAAAATTACAAAAATTTGTTATTAATAAATTACACCTGGAAACAATTCTAACAAGATCTTATTAAGCTACTTCATTGTGTTCCTAATCGTTCTTGATGTTTCTTATCTTCATGTAATTTAGGCAATTTGAAAAGAGAGTGTTGAATTTGTTAATGAGGTGAGTAGTGTAACAAACAAGTAAATAAAGTAAGAAAGAGTAAGGCAGTAACCAAGTAAGAGGTAAGGTAACTAGGAATTAGATAAGGATTGTCAATAATATAAATATATAAGTAAACATATGAAAAATAAAATTAAAAACACAACCACAAACAAAACAGAACAAAACAAAACTACAAAGTAATGTACTTGGTATAAGAACAAACGTACATTAGGCCGGGGGAAATTGATGATAACATTTGGGAACGTAGTATTTGACTATATATATGTATAAAGTATTAAAAAAAAAATAGCAACTTAAAAAAAATTATAGTGCATACAATTAATATACAAGTAGAATTATTTTGAAGTTCTAGGCTACTCGTACTATTTAAACTGTTGTAATAATAGATATTTTAGATGTAATTTGGCTGTTTAATCACTACTAGGGATGTCAATGGAGGAAAACCAGATTAATATCCTATATCAATAAAAACATGTTAATATCACCAATTTTTCTCACTCCTCCCCTCACATGGCCAATTTGTCCTCCATTCTCATGGCCACTACTTTCTTCTCTCTCCTCCATTCCCATGACTATGTCCAAGATTGACCACCTTCGCGGATCAAAAGTGGTTGGCCGGTCAAACAATAGACACCCTAGTAGCTAATTATGAAAATTGGGCCCATACAAACCCCTTAGGGAAAGGGATTCGCTCATACTTGTGGTGTAGCGGCGGTCAAATGGTGGTGCTCGGTCGGCTGGTGGTGTTAGATTGTGCGGTTGTCAAATGGTGAAGCTAAAGGTCGTGCAGTGGTCGGCTGGGGTCGACTGGTAAAGCTAAAGGTCGACAGTGGTCCGCTGGTGAAGCTAAAGGTGGTGCGGCAGGTTGTACGGTGGTGATAGAGGAGAGAGAAAGGGGGTGTGGTTGCTAAATTTACAAAATTATCCTTGATGTGACTACTAAAATTACAAAATTAGCCTTGATATTAACAAGTTTTGTTAATATAGGATATCAACTTGTATTTTCTCATGTCAATGGGACGGGACGGGCGAATGTTGGCATTCTCATTTCCATCCCCATCCTCGCCACAAGTCTAAAACCCATCCTCATACCCGCCCCGGCGGGGACAATTCCAAAACTATCCCCACCCCACCCACTTATTTGGATATCTTACTTATATGAGTATATCACTATTTTTTTTGTATCACTATTTTTTGAAGAGGCCATAAGTTTAAAAGCAAATTAAACTGTCAAACACGTTAAAACACCAAGAGACAAAAATATGAACAAAGAGAGGATTCTAAAGAGTTACTGTCAAACATATTGTCAAAATTAAGAGAACATACTAAAATTCTGGGGAAAAAAAATAATCATAACTATAATCTAAAATTCGGGACAATTGATATCCAACAAAGATATTTGGATTAAATTGTCATAATTTAGTCCGAACTTAATAAATCTCAACAAGAAATACAACTTGTCAATTCAAATTTATTGTCAAAATTGACAAATAATTAAAGTCATCAATATTACTAATCTCTATTATAGCATGACACCCCGATTAATTTGACTAAACCCATATAACAACTAATGATAGTGGTACAGGTATGATAATTAATAAAGACTTCTTTGTAAACCACATCTGTTTTCTTTTTTTTTTTTTTTTTAACAAGATATCACGTGGTTATATTTTTTCTTACTCATGTACAATAGATGGCCTCGAAAGGGAGCATGCAGATAGTGTTTATAAAAGGGAAGGAGCCACTCCTTGACTACTTTCGAAGTAGTGCAAAGTAGTACTTCCTCTGCTCCACAAATATTGCAATAAGGATGAAATTACGCATCTCAAAGCATATTTTATATGTTAATATCAATAATTAGATAAGAGTAAAAATTATAAAAAGTTGATATTGTGAAATTATTTTACGAGACGAATCTAACAAGACCCCACATGACTATATTTTACTTTACGTATAAATCATAATTTGTGGTCAAACAAGCATGATGAATAGTACAAAAGTCTAGTTGTTGCAATATTACTAGAACGGAGAAAGTATAATTTTAGTCCATAGATAATAAAAAAAAAAACGGCATAAATGTGCATCAAGTTGTCAATAAAACCAGCAACAATGCCCACTTGATAGTCGATATTCAAGCAATTAAAACAGCAAATTTTTTCATACAAAAAGGCTAAGAACAAAGTTTCTTGTATCAAACACCTTAAAGAAAACAAAAGCAAAGAAGAGAAAAAATGTGCATAACTGCATTTGCTTGGCAAGCACTCTCCCTCCACCCTTTCGTTCTGTTGCTCAACCGAGACGAAGATCTCAACAGGCAAGTGTACACATTTTATATGACTGCTCTTACTTATGCAATGAATACATTTAATATACGTTAAATAAGATACATGGTTATCAATATATTTGCGTGCATGTGATAACGGGATTATGACATTGCTAAACAGGCCAACAAAGCCACTAGGGTGGTGGGAAGGAGGAGAGATTCTAGGAGGTCGGGATGAGATAGGTGGAGGTACCTGGCTTGCGTGTACTAAAAAGGGAAAGGTAGCCTTCATTACCAACGTTTTGGAGCTTCATACTCTTGCTGATGCAAAATCCCGAGGAGAGTTACCCGTTCGTTTCCTCAAGGTAAGTTGCTCGTAAGGCTTCTTAGTTTCAACCTCATACATCTAGTTTCAATCACCATTGAACTGGAAGGAATAGAATATACATGAGCTTCAGCAGTTTAAATTAGCAATGTGTAAATAAAAGCATTAAGGAATAGAAAATACGAGTCGTGAACTTTAGGAACATGGATGAGCATTATACGTAAGTATTCATGAAATTTGCAGCTTAAGCCCAAACTATAAAGTTTCCCAATAAGCCAATAAATTGAAGTCATACCTTGCGTTATAAGGTTTGGACTATATTAATTGGACTCTTCACTTTCTCCATTTCACCTACCTATGTTACTATGCCAGACACAACTCACAAGTAACCGTGTCTGAGTAACATAGCTTCTGAAATATTTTGAGCTTTCCTTTTGTTCTTCACACACAAAGACAGTATGATACAAGAATGTAGCCATAGATCAGCTCATCTTTATGGGTATTGTTGCAGTGTAAACAAAGTCCGAGAGAATATGCGGAGATGGTAGCAGAAGAGGCTCACGAATACAACGGCTTCAACCTGATAGTAGCTGATCTTCTCTCGAAAAGCATGATTTACATAACAAACAGACCAAAAGGGGAATCTGTCAGAATTCAAGAGGTTCCACCAGGCATCCATGTCCTCACAAATGGCAGGCTGGATTCTCCATGGCCAAAGGTCAGAAGCTAAGAAATGTACTGGTAGTTTTCGTTGCTGAATACAGGAATGCACTTTCCATTTCTAGCTCACACAACTAACATGGCCTGTGAATGAAGAAGAAATTGGAAAAGCATAAATTTTAATAGTCGGATCGCATTTAAGGAAATGGTTGGAAAAAGAAAGTGAAGAATTAGACAAAAAACTTCTAAGCATTTAGGATCTTCTAGTTCATGACAAGAGTTTAAAAGTTAAAGAAAATGGAAAAGCATTAGTTTTACTAGTAGGATTGCATTTAAGGAATTGGCACAAAAAAGACAAAAAAAGTTTAAGCATTTAGGACCATCTAGTTCATGGCAAGAGTTTAAAAAGAAAAAGAAAGTAATAGGGGGCTACCTCATACTTTGATCAGTAGTTCAGTACAAGTTAAGAAAGAAGTAGACAACGATTTCAGTTACGTAGAACTGTTTTAGGGAAGCAAGATGGATACTACAGAAGAATTTTGCTTTAGCGATAGTATATCGTACTCGTAACAAACTAACAAACCACATGCAAATGCATATCTAGCAGACCCCAGATCCTCAATGTAACCAAATAAGTACATTTGCATGTCTAGCCTTTTCCCATAATTTTTTTTCTTTGGAAAATTATCGCCACTAATATGGATTGTCAGCAATCTTCTAAATTAATTTAACTTCTGCATTATCTCGCATCCTAATAACTTGGGGCGTTGGGGACCCCTTCTCAAAATAGTCCATGTGGCCAACCTTACTAGAATACTTCACAGCAGCTTAAAAGAGTCAAAAACACTATCATCCCCGCATATTCAAGCTGTATATCCTCAGTAGTCTCACTCTCTCACCTTGACTCGCTATAAACGCCATCAGAAACTCACTGACTTGTTGCACAACCATCTGGCAACTCCACTCACTCCAGCTCTGTAAACTAGGTGCCATGACACCAGTCACCCTACCTCACTCTTCCATCGATCACCCCACTAAAACCATTTTTACTCCCTCTCTCGCTTGTATTCTAGCAATAAAGGCCAAATTAGGGAGGGGGTGCCGCTAAATTTGTAGTTGAATACTATTCTTCAATTTACTGCCTGTTCATCTTCCTTAACAAACCCTTGCTATAAAACAATATTGACTTGTCTGTTGCAAAAGTTCCTGTTACTTTCTCTGCAGAAGTATAGAAATTAATTATCACATATTGTCATTCAACTATACAATAATTCCGTGAACCTGCCCCTTCTTCCAAACTTACAGGCAGAGCGTTTGGCACTAAAGTTCAAGAAATTACTGTACAGATATGATGAGGGTGAAATTCCGGTCAAAGATATGGTTAACAAAGTTATGAGGGACACAAAAAAAGCTGATGAAAGCAAGCTGCCTCATATTTGCTCACTTGAATGGGAATTCAGACTGAGCTCTATCTTTGTGAAAGCAGATTCAACCTCGGTAAGTAATTTTGAAAACCTCTGCTCTTTCACTAAACAATAGACCATCAAAATAAGTGATTAATTGTATTGTCTGACACAGCGATATTCATATTATTGCACAAGAAGCACCGCAGCAGTAACAGTGTCAGGAAAGGGAGAAGTAAACTTCTACGAAACATATCTGGAGAAAGAAATGTGGAAAGAGCACATTATTAATTACTGCATTGAAAAGCCAAAACATGTATAATTCATGGCAGCACTACCTAGACAGGAGAAAAGATCCAGATATCATTGTTTAGATGATGGTTTATAATGACTGATGCGTAAGAGTATGAATATATTCTCCTGCAAGATCAATTAGAACTTCTGTAGCCTTCATGCTGAAATTGTTGAATGATTTCTGTTTTTTTTCCTTTCCTTCCCCCGCTGGAGGGTTGTTCCAGCAATGGCAGCATATATGCTGCAATTTTCCCTTCTTCTGAGCGATGTAGTTGGGATGATGATTAGTTCTTCGTTTCTTATTAAACAAAAATTTAAAACTTTTGTCTTTGTGTCTAAAAAAAAGGTTGTCAATTTTCCATTAGTATTATTTCCAGAGACAGGTGCTCTTCTCTCTTTTCTCCCTAGTTTTCCAGGTGCAAATTTTTTGGTCCAAGAGTCAGTCCAAAGTCCAAAATGTCAAGTGTCAGTGAAAGAAAACACAACAAAAGCAGCATTATAAAAGTTGATGTCTTGATCAAAATCCAGGTACAAAAGGCCATCAAAAGGCAGGTCAGCACCTTTGGACGAAGTATTTTATATAATCTAGATTCTAAAGTATAGAGGAGAGGAGGCAACATACTGAAAAGAAAATGCATCACTTGCATGTGTTCATAACCAAAAGCAATAAACTAAATTTAACGTGTTCATTAGGAGTCTCAACTTTTAAGTCACGTAACCATCATAATTGTCGGGCCATGACTCGTGTCGCAGACTCGCAATGACATGAATTCATTCAATCATAGTTTATGCTATGTGAATATGATTAACACAACATCAAAAGATCAGGGGAGTCATTATTCATTGAGCTTAGGTATGTTTTGTTGTTGATGGCTCGTCCTAAAAATCTCCCTTAATAATCTAGAGAAGGAAAAGTGAAAGAAATGGCACAAAATTATCATTAGACAGCCTAGCTATATCATTTAATAGTTAAGAATAAAGCCATTCATTACTACAAATATTAAAACAAACCTGACAAGCTTTATACATCAAGTTGCACCAAATGGGACCTTAGTTCAGCATCCAATTTGTATCCAGCCAACTCTAACTCCTTGCATACCTCCTTGCACTTAGCAAACCTCCCAGAGAACAGGTACATACTGATCATGCCCCGGTAAATATCATAAGTTGGAGAAAAACCTGCCTCCTTAATCTTAGAAAAATATCTAACTGCCCTCGGGAGGTCATTTAGAGCAACAAATAGCTTAATTACCACCCTATATGCTGGCAAATCAAACTGACAATTTAAGCGCTCCATTTCCCAAACTACAGCCAATGCCTCCCTATACTTCATAGCAAACAGGCGGCTATAAATCACAGTAGTATACATAACAACACTTGGTTGATTTCCATTCAGTTGAAACCAGTCAAACAAGGACTCTACGAAATCAAAGTTCCCAAGTCTAATACAAACTTTCATAATGGCAGTGCAGTCCTGCAGGCTTAAGTTCAGATTGTCTCGCTGCCCAAGCTCTTCCAGTAAGATTACAACAAGGTCATCTTTATCAGGGTTTTTCCCCAGCTCTGATAATAACTTGACATAGATGCTGGAGTCCAACATTCTTTTACCACGTCTAGCTGCAGATAGAAGCTTCCATGCCAGATTCAAGCTTCCTCCCTTAATAAAACCCTTAGCAATTGCTTCTAGAACACCACGACTAGCCAAATTAACAAATTTATCAAGATCAAAGGGCAATTTAAGGTCATGGGTCCTTGCCAAAATTTCTACAGTAGTTGCCAGAATCCGGTCATCTGGGAAAAGGTGGGTTTGTTTCTGTGCCCAACAGAATGTCTGCAATGCTCGGTCAGGAAAACCCATGTGACCCAATTCCCGGATGGTCAAAGACAAAGACCCCTTACGTAGAAATCTCCCCCATTTGTTTAGAGCACAGGAAACATCTGCCTCTGCGGGAAGGTTTCTAATTTCTCTTGCCAAATTGAGCAAGAAAACTGGGTCCTTGTAGACTTGCTTTGATATCGATAGTCTTGAGAGCGCTGCTGGTGAAGAAGACCTGACATGCTTCTTTGTCGTAGGGAGTCCCAATGGTCGAATTTTATGTGGAAGAGGTAGTGGAAGTGGCCTTCTCCTATTCAACTTCCCGGGTTTTTGAGGTATTCTTCCTTGAAATAGAGATGATATTGCCTCGATTTCATCAGCTTCCCAAACATCATGTTCATCCTCATCTTTGCCTTCATCATTCTCGTTATCACTAAAAGCAACCCTTTCAACAGGATCATCAGAACTCCACTCAATTTGAACGTCCATTTCAGGGTGATCTTCAACCTCATTCCCTGATTTTATGAATGTATCAATCCCAAAATCAGGAGGAAGCTTAGTACAGCGTGGATAGCTTAGATATTTAGGAGGTTTTCTAAGGTGAATTGCTGAATCAAAATGCACCTTGGCATATACCTTGGACAAATTCATGCGTTTTACGTTTCGAGTTAACTTGTGGGTGAAAATTAGAACGTCGGGTAGGGGATGATGTAATCTAGACCTCAATAAACCAGAATCCATGTTATCACACTAAAATTCATAAACCCGACAAAATTAGCAGTACACTCTACAGTATGATGAAACTCAGAGAACACATCTAAGCATCATCAACACCCTTTCTCAAGCAAATTTAATTCAACCTGCAAAAGAAACCATTTAACGATTGCTAAATCCCTATAAATCAACCATAAATTTGGATTCCAGTATAAAAGAAACAAACCCATTTCATAGTTCAATTCTAACATTAAAGGGTTCTGCAATACATTAGCAACCAAATTTGATTCAACTATCACATAAATAATTTGGGTATGAAAGCCATACTTGATTTAATTATCAAATTTCTTCGCTGGTTATCATCTTTCATATAATCTTAGTACTGTAATTAGAATCAATAGTTCAAATTTTCAAACCCTAAACTTACTACACTGATAATTAAATTAAAATTAAACCTTAAATTGTGAAATTGACAATAGAAACAATAAATTACCTCAGAAGCTGCTTCAATGGGGGATAGATACCAGGCGCTTTAATCTGGTTTTTTTTTTTTTCCTTATCACAATTAGAGGTGTTCAATGGTTTGGAGCCCCAATTAGCCTAACCCGGCCCCAGCTATTAATGGGTCAGGTCCGTCCAATGTATAAACGGGACGAGTCTTTATACGGTAGTTCAATAAAATAAATTAGTATAAATCCCGTGCAATGCACGATTTTTACAAAATTTTATTACGAATTATATCATTTAATTATTACTATAGAAATGAATTATAATATTGAACATAATAAAGTAACTTCATTATACACAATACATTATAACAATAAAATCAAGGTTAATACCCGTGCGACTTTTAGTCCCACACTTTGATAAGCACATGGGTAATTTAATTAATTATTTGTTTGATTTTTAGTGAATGGTGGAGAATTTAATTTTTGTTTTATTAGTACTATTGTTATGATTATATTCAATGGGTATTGTTAGCTAATATTCCTATAATATTAAACAAACAATACATAGTTATGTATAAATATATAATTTGATTAATTATTTAGGATTGCTTATTTGTATTATATCAAAAGTATAGATTCTTACAACTTCATTACTTTCCATCTAAAATTGTTGATGTGTTTATTCTTGAAATTAAAATACAAAGTACAACATATGCATATAATTAGACAAAAAAGAATAATTTAAAGTCTTATAGAAAATTTCCAAAAAAAAAAAAAGGTTTTATAGAAAATTACTACTTTAATACCCAATAAAAATGGTAAGAAAGATATAAAAATATATATTGGTAGAACATATGAAGTATATGGAAGATTTTTTTTTTTTTTTTTTTTTTTTGGAAATATCATATGGAAGAAATTTGATGTTAAATATGAAGTTAATATTTAGCAAAAAAAAAAAACATTTAGACGGGAAAATTTTTAATTAGAAGATGACATGTGTCATCTCAAAGTTCGTCTTTAGTATAAATAAAGTTATAGATATGCAAACCGAATTCGACTCATTTCTTAGTTTCGGTTACCGAACTATGCTTGGTCTAGTGCCTTTCTCCTTACCAAAAAAAAAATAAAAAAATAAAAAAAAATAAAAACTTATTTTCAATCTATTATTTGGATGACTTTGAAATTTAAGTTTTTTTTTTTTTTTTAATTAAATGTGAGAATTGACGACGACTCTTGATTAAATTGTTTTGAGTGAGAGCATCTCCAATAGTAAGTTACAAGGGTCTTGTAGCTTGTTTTGCCACATTAATTTTTAAGCTACAACACTTTTTGGCTGCAAAATGTTCCAATGGTGAGAGTTACAAGGGCCTTGTAGCTTGAAAAAAATAAAAGAATAAATAATAATAAATAATATTAATAATAATAATAGTTGTACACATGTCACAATATAATTGGAGTTTACTTGTCTCTAAATTAATCAAGCAACGTACTTTGTTTGGGCTACAACAGCTAGTATGTTGCTCAATTTTTTAATCTCCAATAGTAAGCATATAGCTAGGCATTTTATTTATATTGCAAGCAAGTCCTTACAACTCAACCATTGAAGATGCTCTCAATATTTATATGATTCTTCTCTAATTTTTTTTTCCTCCATGATTAACTATGACGGATATAGATTAAACAATATAACTAAGCATATACAAAAAATCGAGCATCCCAAAAATAATATTCAAATAGTTTTACCCAGATTTTGGAAGAGAGCAAGAGAGGATGATGTACATACTTACCAAGTTACTAATCAAAGAAGACGAGCCTTCCCTATTGATGAAGATGAAGAGTGAACCAACGGTTGCTAAAATCAAAAAATAATAGTTTGTCCTCAAACTATTTGTTCCATTTGGGCCTTACTTGGAGGATGGGGTTGTTTAGTTTAGAATTGGGTCGTGTCATGTTTAAGCAACATTTGGGTCGTGAAACTAGTTAAGAATAAAGCCGATAAAAGCTGGTCTAACACGATATAGCAATGCAATACGAATCGAATGTGAAAAAAAGGGTGTGTGTCAGGAATTTAAGATCCATTCAATTAAAGGGTCAACACAACATAAGGCATTTGATTAAACCGGTCGGATAAGTGTTGAGATTCTAAACATGAAACTAACATGACTCGATCCTTCTAAGAAAAATGATCAATGATTTAAGGAATTGATGATTAAGCATTTAAAGGATGCTAACTCTTTCTAAATAAATACGATACGAATCAAACATAGAAAAAACGAGTTAGTGTCAAGGGTTTTTTACTCCGACTCTTATAATTAAATGGGTCAACATAACATGTTACGTTAAATTAAACGAGTTGGGTTAGTATTAAGGTTTTGACAGCACTAGCCATGATAGTGGATATTTTAGTGTAAATTAATATGATTTTTATACTAATCGGGTAAATTTTATTTTGAGGATTCTTTCCGTTTTATGACAATTTTTTTAAAAAAAAACAAAGGAAATAGGGATAAAAAAAAATATATACCATATAATATCCACACTTTGGATGCAAATAAATCCTATTGGTTTGTTTTTATATATATTTTTGAGAGTTTTGACGAAATAGTGTGCTGTTTAGCAAAGTTTAATTTTTAATTGGTGTCAATGTTAAACAAGTGTTTTACGGAGTAGTATATTTCTAAAGTCTTGCTCTATTGACTTTATGTTTACTTAATTTAGATAAATATTATTATAAAAGTTCAGATAAGCAATATGGAAGACTGGATGTCTATTAGTCATATACATCGTTAAAATCCGTGCGATGCACGATTTGTATAACATTTATTTTTATAATTTGTACATTTTATAAAAATGGATAATTATAAATAAGAATTATCCACCTTGTAAAAAAGTATTTGTAATTTTAAAATTTTAGATTTTCATCAAAATTATGATATAATACATGTTCAACGTCGCTTAATATATATTTCAATGTAGGAGTCCATTTATTAGTGTGCTATTTATGCTTGTTTCATTTTTTTAGGATA